AGGAGGCTGGCGCAGGAGCACCCTCACTGGGGGGATGAGGAGCTGTTCCAGCATGCTCGCAAGAGGGTCATTGCCACCTACCAGGTGAGTCCTGGTACCAAACAAAGAGTCTGTACTCCCCAAGTAAAGCTTCCCGGGTCTTGGACAACGCCTCTTCCCTATATACCCCTTTCTAGGAAGGTCCTTCTTCAGGCCCTCCTAGAAAGTTTGTGTAGGAAAAACTCGCTCTGTTTATGCCAGATGACTTGGGGTTTGATCATTACTTAATCTCTCTTTCTCTCTCCTCAATAAATTCTTCGAAGAATCTAGCACTTGATGCTGTTGGATTTTTTATGCCTTTTCTCCCATGATGTGTGCAAGGTTCAGGGAGACTCTGCTCCCCCAGGAAAACTTTTCCAGTCTTGGATAACACCCCTCCCCTAGTTTTGGCCCTTATTCCCATAAGGTTTAATGGGAATATATGTATATGTATATGTATATGTATATGTATATGTATATGTATATGTATATGTATATGTATATGTATATGTATATGTATATGTATATGTATATGTATGACCTGAGAATGTTTGTATGGGTGATTTTGCTTCTAGTTGCCCGCCCCTCCCGCCCCTCCAACTGGCCTTGCCTGGTCCTCATCTCTGCACATAAGTCATTCCCCATAGGCTCAGCCCAACCTCTCCTTCCCCTCTCTCACCCTCAGAACATTGCTCTATACCAATGGTTGCCCAGCTTCCTGCAGAAAACACCTCCAGAGTATTCAGGTAATGAAGAGGAGTTGTGGAAGGTGGGGGACACCTAGAGTGTGTGATGCCAGGCTGTGAGGTAAGGCATCTGTCTTGATGCAGGGTACCACCCTTTCATGGACCCCAGCATCTCCCCAGAGTTCGTGGTGGCGGCTGAGCAGTTCCTCTCTACCATGGTGCCCCCTGGGGTCTACATGAGGTAAGGGAAGTGCTGAGCTACTCAGTATTGGAGGTAGGTTGTATGAGCAGGCTTGGAGGTTGGGGCTTGCATTCCTCCACAATTTCATCTAGAAGAGAAGCAGAATTGTTGAGGGAGCGCTGAAACAGGATCCTGGGGTGGGAAGTTTGAGATCCCCAGGAAATCTCCTAGGTCTGATAGCAGAATTTTGGTTGCTGAGTGTGGGGTGTGTCTGGCAGCTGAGTACCCTTCTGACCTCCCACCATAGAGATCACTCTATCTGCAAATCCAAGCCAACGATCAAGGAAGCTCACCAGTCGCCCTTTACTCTTGTCCAGCCCAGAGAAGTGCTCACCTCTCTCACCGCCTTACCTTCTGCCCGGAAGTCCCTCATGGTGTTTTTGTCACTCTATTTCAGAAACTCCAACTGCCATTTCCGGGAATTCCCGAAGGAAGGTTCTAACAGCTCTCCAGCTCTCAGGGTCTGCAACAGCTACTGGATCCGGGAGGTTAGCCTGAGATGGGGGTCAGAGGGTGGGGGGAGTCAAAGTCACATAGCATAAATGCTTGGAACAGTAACAGTTTGGCTCTTGAGCAGCAGTGCTCCAAAAGGCAGAGAAAATTATCTGGGGAGAATTGTCCACGAGAGCTGGAAATGCCTGGGCATGGGGCAATGTGCCTGCTGTCCTAGCTGCTTGGGAAGCTCAGGCAGGAGATGGAGAGAGGAAAGGAAAGGAAGTGAAAGGAGGGAGGGAGGGGTGAGGGGAAAGGAGGGGGAGAAGGGGAGAGAGAAAGAGAGAGAGAGAGAGAGAGAGAGAGAGAGAGAGAGAGAGAGAGAGAGAGAGAATATGAGTGCAAGTCTGAGAGTGACTAGGGACCTGTTTTCCTGAGGTGCTACTGGTCCAGGGTCAAAATCTTTAGTGTAGTGTTTACTTCCAGAATCCCAATCTGAAGACTGCTCAAGATGTGGACCAGCTGCTGCTGGGAATGGCTTCCCAGATATCAGAGCTGGAGGACAGGATAGTGGTTGAAGATCTGAGAGGTAAGCTCAGAGGGTAGAGTGTCAAGAGCTGGAAGTCTGAGGACCCTTCTGAGTCAGTCAACAAGCAGCCTGAGGGTACCTGTGATGCAGACACACAAATGTACACTCTCAAACTTCAAATAAATGTCAGAAGAAATTGAAATTTGAGCTCCCTGCCTCAATTATAGCTTTGTGTTTGTGCTGTTTTTATTTTAAGTTGACTATGCCTGAATATGGTGGACATGAGGGTAGTACAGCAATCGAACACCCTCTGTGGTGTTTACTTAAGTGTTAAGGGTTCTTACCCAGTCATGTTTTAAAGTTGGAACACGCAAAGAAGAAATTTCTGGCTGGTATCAAGAATTACCTTGAGTTGTAGAAAACCTTTTTAGAAAAAGTACCCCTGACCACACATGGTGACATTGGCTCCACAGCAAACAAGACCACTGATGTCATGTAGAGGAGCGCTGAGGCCTGGGGCTGAGGAGAGCTCCAGACAGCTGGATATAAGGCTTCAATGGATGGAGAGGGTTGGGATGACTAACTCAAAGTCTGATCTCTTTTCAGATTACTGGCCTGGCCCAGAGAGATTCTCTCGCACAGACTACGTGGCTAGCAGTATCCAACGTGGCCGAGATATGGGACTGCCCAGTTATAGCCAGGCTCTGCTGGCCTTGGGACTGGAGCCTCCTAAGAACTGGAGTGCTCTCAACCCCAAAGTAGAATCCCAGGTTAGTATAAATAATAATAACAACACAATAACTATGGCAGTTGGTGGGGTGGGGGGTGGGGGGATGATTCAGTTGGTAACATGCTTGTCACACATGCATGAGGACCTGAATTTGAATATTCAGCACCCACATAAAAGTCGGAGATGTTTTTGGGATCTCAGCTCTAGGGAGGCAGAGACAGGAGGACTCCTGACCCTTACTAGACAGCTAACCCAGCCAAAACAATGATACCCAGGTTTAGGGAGAATTCCTGTTTCAAAGAATAAGGTGGAGAGTGATTGAGGAAGACTCTGTGTCAACCACTGGCATCTACATGCACACATACTCATGTCCAGAAACATGTGCCCCCACACACATACGTACATACATCCACAAAATAACGGCAGTCAAAACTTTCTATGGCAGTGCTGTTCCAAATATCTCTACACAGATGAACTCACTTGATCAACGTAAGAATTTATGAGGTAGTTACGCGCAGTGTTGCAGTTTTACTGACGACATTGTTGGTGAGGTCGAGTACACATTTGTTCCTTTCCGTTATGCTCCAGGTACTGGAGGCCACAGCCGCTCTGTATAACCAGGACCTGTCCAAGTTGGAACTGCTCCTGGGTGGACTCCTGGAGAGCCACGGGGACCCTGGACCTCTGTTCAGCAACATCATTCTTGACCAGTTTGTGAGGCTCCGGGATGGTGATCGCTACTGGTTTGAGAACACTAGGAATGGGTAAGACCTGGCTGAGCCCTTGGGGTGGGGCCCCAGATCCTCTGTCTGGCCCTAGATAGCCCCCACAGGTCTTAATTCTAGGGGCATACCACACTTTCACCCACTCCAGTCTCTTTCTTCACATGAGGTCACTGGAGGACTGAAATCCCCTTCCTATCCATTTATCCAGCAATGGCCTTCTCCCTCACCCCCAACCCCCGTTTAGGTTGTTCTCCAAGGAGGAGATTGCAGAAATCAGAAACACCACCTTGCGGGATGTACTGGTTGCTGTCTCCAATGTGGACCCCAGTGCCTTGCAGCCCAATGTTTTTTTCTGGCAGGAAGGTGAGTAGCCTGGGAGAACAGACAAGCAATAGTATGGGGGCAGAGTCATCTGTGCTGTGCAGGAAGCTGTGTGCTTTCTGTGTTGGGTTGCCTCCTATGCTATAGTCTGGACCAGCCCGAGAGCTATTACCTAGCAATGGAGCAGGGTGAGTGCTGAGAAATTAGATATGGAAGAGGTCTTTTGAGAGGAACAAGTTTCAGAGGGGTAGGTTTGGGAATGGGAGACAATATTTGGCCCTTCCTAAGACAGGACACAAGGCTTACCCAAGGAGTAGGACTCTTGGACTCAGACTTCTATGATTTGTCCCTTAGGTGCACCCTGCCCACAGCCTCAGCAACTCACAACTGAAGGCTTGCCCGAGTGTGTGCCCGTTACTGTGATTGACTACTTTGAGGGCAGTGGTGCTGGCTATGGTATCACCCTTGTGGCTGTCTGCTGCTTTCCATTAGGTAAGAGCTTTGGCTCTCCCTACCTCTTTTCTGACCTCCATCTTTTCACAGACTGGCCTGGTCCATTCCTTCTCCCACCCCACCCTACTGGCCTCCACCACCCCACTACATGCTGGTTTTCAGGGCTAGCTCCTTTGCATAGCTTGAGCCACACTCAGGAAGCTCCTAGGTGTCTAAGGATCGATTCCAAAGCTCCCCTTAAAGCTATGAGCAAAGGGCTCTCCTTCCCTCTCACTAGTCTCTTCTGGTTCCCTTCAGTGAGTCTGATTGTCGCTGGAGTGGTGGCAAAGTTCCGGAACCGAGAACGCAAGATGCTACTAAAGAAAGGCAAAGAGAGTTTGAAGAAACAAACAGCCAGTGATGGAGTACCAGGTGAGAAACCTGAGGACCAGGAGGAGGGAAAGGGAGTCAGGGCCTGAGGGGGAAAATATGTTACAGAGTGGGATGGAAGCCAGACTCACTAGACCTCCATGCTCAAATAAGAGAATCACATGGGCTCAAAGACCTCTGCTGAATCACCACGCCATTGTCCTTTCCTCAGCAATGGAGTGGCCAGGCCCTAAGGAGAAGAGCTATCCAGTCACTCTCCAGCTGCTTCCAGACAGGAGTCTGCAGGTCCTTGACAAATGGTCCACTGTGATCCGTACCATCCAGCTGCGGCCCCCACAACAGGTCAACCTCATCCTGTCCAACAACTGTGGATGCCGCACCCTGCTGCTCAAGATCCCCAAGGAGTATGACCTGGTACAGTTCATCCTGCCTCCCTCTGTGGGCTGTTGTTTTCATATATCTCCTATGCGAGTCCTCTCAGCATTGCCTTCTCAGCTACAGAGTTTATCTGTGAAGGCTGATGCTGGAGAAGGAGGCTCCTTTCAGGAGCTTCTAGACTCAGTTGTCCCCTAAGGTCACTCTCTGACCACAGCCTGGATGGTGAGGGAAGAGACTTCTCTTCTTCCCTCAGCCTAAGGTCCTTTGAAGCAGGGCTAACTCAGAAAAGCCAGCTTCAGACATGATGAGGCTTTTCTCCAACCTAGGTGCTGATGTTTAACTCTGAAGAGGACCGGGGTGGCTTTGTGCGGCTTTTGCAAGACCTGTGTATCTGCGGCACTCCCGGCCTCCACATAGCTGAGATGGGCGAGAAGGAGCTATTGAGAAAGGCTGTGACGAAGCAGCAGCGCGCAGGCATCTTGGAGATCTTCTTCAGACAGCTTTTTGCTCAGGTGCCACGAGTTATACTTGGCACAGGGAATGGAGCCAACCTGAACTGGATGGGTTCTCGTGGGTGAATTAAGATTTCACACTGTAGGTTAAAGACAGGCAGTCTTGGCTGGATCCTTGGGCAATTCACATGTCCTTGTCTCTGTATTCCTCATCCTGTCATCTAATGAACAGTGACTAAACCTGTGAGCATGCAATGCTGAGAGGGGCCAGTGAGATCATCTACATGATGGATTCTCTAATGGCACCTCTGGATCAGCAGCGTCAACTGACTTGGAAACTTATTAGGAATGCTGATTCTCAGGATCCTCCCCAAACAGATTGAATGAGGAGCTCTGATCCCCAGAAAATTTCATTTTAACAAATCTTTCTAGGTGATGCTGATTATAGACTTGAGTTTGAAAATCACCATTTTATAGACCGTGTTTAGCCTAAGTACTTGGTACCTTTTGGGTATAACAAATGGTAATGATGTGTTACTTTTTAATTATCTGTACACTGATAGGATTCAGATTCTAGGTACATGGCAGTGCTATCTGAATTAGCATGAGCATATAGGCTCAACCCTGTTTGTCATGTTCTAGCCAATACCCACTGCCTCTGGAGCAGGCTCTTTCTCTTTTCATTCCCCAACTTTGCTCCCTGCCTCTTACTTTCCCCTTTTCTCCCCATCAGTACTATCCTTGCTGAATGGAGCTTGGATCCAGAGAGAAACAGAAAGCTTGTAAAGATTCAGTTAACCCCTCCTATGGGAGGATAGAGGCCTCAATCAGTATGTCTAGGAGTAGGTTTTCTGACCTGCACACAGGGGAGATAGGAAGCCATTGAACTGTTTCCATCCCAGCTAGGTAAGCTAGGCCTTACCTCCTTCTCTCCCTCTCTGTGACTGCCTAAGTACAGGTGCTGGACATCAATCAGGCTGATGCAGGGACTCTGCCCCTGGACTCATCCCAGCAAGTACGAGAGGCTCTGACCTGTGAGCTGAGCAGAGCTGAGTTTGCGGATTCCCTAGGCCTCAAGCCCAAGGATATGTTTGTGGAGTCCATGTTTTCTCTGGCCGACAAGGATGGCAATGGCTACATATCCTTCCGGGAGTTCCTGGACATCCTGGTGGTCTTCATGAAAGGTGGGGGTGGGGACTAGCGGAACATCTGAGGAACCACGAATTTGTTAGCAAGGAGGTGACCTATATCCCCTTTCTCTCTCAGGTTCCCCAGAGGATAAGTCCCACCTAATGTTTACCATGTATGACCTGGATGGAAATGGCTTCCTCTCCAAGGATGAATTCTTCACCATGATGCGGTACAGGCTGGGCCTTTCCAATGCTGAAATATCTTGATGTTTTAAACAGGAAAGCAATTGAGGTCAGAGGAGGGCAGGCAAGACGGCTGAGTGGCCATCCATGTTGAATGGTACATACTGCATGAGTTCTCCAGACATCCAACTTCAAGACATCACCTAGGCAGACCCTTGCCTTTAACAGGGTCCGTATCCACACTATCTAAAACTGCCAAAAGCATTGCTCTGGTTTTAAACTGTCAATAAAGACCAGCTGTGAGCACCCTCAACTTCTCATTCCCAAGGACAGAACCTTAGTAATAACTTCCCTCAAGTACCACAAGGCACATCTCTTTATTTTTTCTTGAATCTGCTTTTTTTTTTCCATGCTTAGATTAACATTTGGCACATAGTCCACTGAAAAAGATAAAGGGAAATACATGAGGGTAAATAGAGCCCAGCAGCCCAGATTCTTTTGAAGTGTCTTTATGTCTTTTTGCTCTTAGCATTCCTTTTCTCTGACAATCCCAACTCAGACCACCTTCCTCTGCCTCCTCCTCTTCCTCCTCCTCTTCCTCTTCTTTAGAAGGTTTTCTTATTTATTTTTATCTTATGTGCATTGGCATTTTGCCTGCATGAATGTCTGTGTGAGGGTGTCAGATCCCCTGGAACTGGAATTACAAACAGTTGTGAGCTGCCATGTGAGTGCTGAGAATTGAACCTGGGTCCTCTGGAAGAACAGCCAGTGCTCTTAACTGCTGAGCCATCTCTCCAGTCCCCAACATAGACTTCTAAAACAGTAAAAATGACTACAGCCTGTATCTCATCAGCATGTCACTGCAGTCCAGTTCTGGCTACATTTAGGAAATCCGGGAGGAGGGAGGAGGTCCCATCAGCAATGGCAGCTCCCATTTTTTCGGCCTATAATAAAATGTGTGCATCTTGCTTTGCCTCAATGACATGATGCTTTTTAGCATAGTGATAGTGCTTGTTTGGCCTTGCACACATAATTGTTTTTGTCCCAGTGTACAATGTAAGAAGAGTTGCCACTGCAGCTGTCACCATGGGTGTCATCAGATGTGGGCCTGAGCAGGTCCTCCACATGCCCTGGATATTGGTGTAAGGAGGCAGCTGCCATTGTAGCCACTCCCCTCCAACACTCTAGTGTCCTTTTTGGATGATGAAAGTGGGATCTCAGGGGTTGCTGGGTATGGGTGGGCTTCCACAGAAGAGAGTCAGCAGCGAGCCCATCACAAGAGAGGGCCACGGTGTATCCTGGACCCATCTTTGCAGCAAGTGTTATTCTTTCCCATTTGTTTCCATTTCTTTGAGAGGTGTGGCACTGCTTTTCTAAGCTGTCAAGGTCCTGTGAGCCTGCGGCCATCACCTCGCTGGCCTTACTGTCACCTTCAGGATGAATGACACCTCCCCGTGCCATTTCCCAGGTTGATGGTGACCACATTAGGTAATCTGGAGACATGCCCAAGCCTGGCCTTGCTGGATGATAACGTGTTTCTATATTCCACTAGGTCCTTCATCGAGATCTCCAATAACTGCCTGTCCAAGGCCCAGCTGACTGAAGTGGTGGAGTCCATGTTCCAGGAGTCAGGTTTCCAGGACAAGGAGGAGCTGACCTGGGAGGACTTCCATTTCATGCTGCGGGACTACGACAGAGATCTCCGGTTCACAAAGCTCTGTGTCAAGGGTGGAGCTGGAGGTGTGTGAGTGTGGAAGGGAGATGAGGAGTCTTCACAACAGAGTTTCTGGTAGACATACACAGGCCTTATTTTCTTTCCTCCGAGTCCTTGGTGGTTAGTACTGAGCTCAGCATGGATATTTAGAGACAAGTTGTATATTGTGCAAAGTTCGCTCACTAAGCCAAGGGGCAAGCTGGGGCATTGACTTGGGGTGTATCTGGCCAGAGCAGGGGACCTTGTTTTCTTTTCACAAAGGACATGTAGAGTTCTATCTTCCGGAGGGTAGCCCCTTTCTTCTTTGTGCACACCGTTTGCCCTGAGTACCGGGAGGAAAGTGGGGCTGAAGCCCCAGATCCGGACATGACTGAGTCACTACTGGATGCAGAGCAGCCTTTCCAGGGCCCAGGAAGAGAGGACAGTCTCCCACGCCACCCTCCTCTCTTCCAGAGAAGCCAATCCGGGCTCCTGTTCTCTTTTCTAGGCACTGGGGACATCTTTAAACAAAGCAGTGCCTGTCGGGTCTCGTTCATCACCCGGACTCCCGGGAACAGGTGCGTAGATGAGAGGGACTGGGTGGTCTCCTTGGCTTGGTCCATGGAGAGAAGCAAAGAAAGGATGCCAGGCTACTGATCAGATATTTGCCTTGGCAAGGTCAGTGACAGCCCAAACTGCAGCTGCTTCCTACAGCCTGTGTTGTTCAGGAGCTTTGGCTCTCGCTTTACCACTCCAGGCCTGAGCTGCCCTAAGGACAGATGAGCAGACTGTAGCTGCTCACCCTGCTCTGTCCTTTCCTGCTCTTAGGGTCCTTCCCTGGACTCCACCCCAACTTTGACGTGGTAGTTCTTCTCCTGGCTGCAACAATCAAAAGAAAACAGGTTCCAGGGCTTTGATTTGTTGGTTTGATTTTTCAGTTCCTGCCCCCCAGAAATGGCACTCTCTGACATGGAAACCCCAGAGCTGGGAAGTGCTGGCCTAAAGAGAAGGTTTGGCAAAAAGTGAGTTTTCCCTAGATTCCTGGATTCCCAGGATGCTTGGAAAGAAGTCTCAGGCTCTCTTAGCCCTGACACATCACCTCCAGTCTCCTTCCATTCAACACACAGGAGGAGGCACTAGTAGCTCTCCAGCTCTCCATGAAACACCTCCACTACTGTAGCTCCTGGGCCAGGAAACCCGATGCATCTTCTCCTGTAGGGTGTACCATCAGGGAGGGACCCCACAGCCCTTAGCAGGAGAGACAGGACACTGTTGAGAAAGTGGCTCCTTGACCTTCCCTCAGGGCCGCCCACTGGAGGGCTGGTGTGTCCAGTGACCTCAACTTCACTCATTCATTCAGCCTCTAAACTCTTCTTCAGGCAAGATGCCCAGCTCACAACTCCACCGCCATGGCTGTAAGAGGCCTCCTGGCTTCTGCTGCCTTGGGTACAGAAGTACCAAGTAAGCCAGTGTAGAGAGCAAAGGTTGGGATGCAGAATGAGAGGGGGAGAGAGAGACAGACAGAGAGAGGGACAGAGACAGAGACAGACAGACAGAGAGAGACAGGGGGAAAGTGACAGAGAGACAGAAAAAGAAGAGAAGGTAGATTGGGTGTGGAGAGAGAGAAAAGGAGGTGTCTAGAACAAGCAATAATCAGGGTAAGGGTCAGAAGAACGGGGGCTGCTTGCCCCCTTCCACTGTTATGACCCGTCCTTCATGGGTACTAGGTCTTCACTTATGGGTAGGACTGAGGGAAGGCCAAGGAACCCCTTCCTCACCAGTGTCCTGTCTATCACAGCCACAGGATAATGGGGCCCTCTCCCCGGCTGTACACGGAGGCACTGCAGGAGAAAATACAGAGGGGCTTCCTGGCCCAGAAGTTCAAGCAGTACAAACGATTTGTGGAAAACTACCGGCGCCACATTGTGTGTGTTACAATCTTCTCAGCCATCTGCATAGGCCTGTTTGCAGACCGTGCCTACTGTAAGAGTGCCAGGTTGTGGGCAGTGGGCAGAGAACATGCCATACCTCAATGGGGAGTGAAGAGTCCTCTGGCTGCCCTTCCCAGTCCTCAGTGTCTGGACGGCAGAGCCCAGGCATTCTGACTCAGGCTCAGGATCCTGAGTGCATTGCTGATGTGCCTCCACTCTGGTCCCAGACTATGGCTTTGCCTCACCACCCACGGACATTGAAGAAACCACCTATGTGGGCATCATCCTGTCCCGGGGCACGGCGGCCAGCGTCTCCTTCATGTTCTCCTACATCCTGCTCACCATGTGCCGCAACCTCATCACCTTCTTGCGGGAGACCTTCCTCAACCGCTACATTCCCTTCGATGCCGCTGTGGACTTCCATCGCTGGATTGCTATGGCTGCAGTTGTCCTAGCTGGTATGTGGCTCCTGGGGTGGGAGTTGGGAGTAGTGTTGGTCAAGTTAATATGTCTGACGATGTCTCTTTCAGTTCTACACAGTCTTGGACATGCAGTCAACGTGTACATCTTCTCAGTCAGTCCCCTCAGTCTGATGGCCTGCGTCTTCCCTAACGTCTTTGTGAATGATGGGTCAGTTCAGGGGAAGGCACCCCAGGGTCCTCTGGGTGGGCCTAAGGCTATAATAGGAAAGAAATAGATGACCACAGAAGCACAGCTTCTCAGTGTGTGAAGAAACAAAGCTGCCCCTCATGGGGAAGCTGAAAGGTGACTGACTTACCTTCAGGAAGAAAGCTGTCTGACTGGCCAGGAAAGGACCTTAGGAGATGACATCAGAGCTGCTTTCCCATTTGACACACAGTTTATTATCTTAGTTTGATATCGGCTTATTGGACAAATATTTATACACCATGTGCTGGGTGTTTTAGTCAAGTGCCAGAGAGCAGGGTTACTCCAGATACGTGCAGTTGTTGAACACTTTTGCTATGCACTCGATGTTACTGGGCATAGAACGCAAGTCCCTGCCCTCACTAATCTCACAGAATAATGGACCAAGTACTCCAGGAGGCGAGCAAGGGTCTACTGCAGGAAGAGAATGTAAGATGGACAAGCAGGAAGAGCTGTGGTGGGCGCAGGGGGAGAACCGTGACAGTGGACACCCGTGTTCCCTGGAAGGATCCCTTAGCCATTCTAGTGGAGTCCTAGTAACCTCAGGAGTTGGGGGACAGCATCAGGCTGTGGTGTGGGAGTGGCCAACCCCCTTCTGCCTCAGCCAGAGGCTCACTGTGCCTTTACCCCACAGGTCCAAGCTTCCCCCAAAGTACTACTGGTGGTTCTTTGAGACAGTTCCAGGTAGGAAGTGGAGCTGTGTGTGGGATCTGAACACTACTCTAACTGCATATCTCTTCCTTTTTCTCCTCTTCCTGAATATACACTGGTCTATAATAGCCATAGGCCCCCTTCTGACAGGCCAGCCCTGGCTTCAGCCCCTACACATATGCTATTCTGAAGCCCTGAAGGACTAGAGTAAACGTCGAGTAGAACGGTGCAGGGAGATGTCCTGTTGTATTTTCAGCTCAGGATGAGGTTCTAAGGATACCCACTGACTCTGTCCTCTGCCCCCAGGTATGACAGGAGTGCTCCTGCTCCTGGTCCTGGCCATCATGTACGTCTTTGCCTCCCACCACTTCCGCCGCCACAGTTTCCGGGGCTTCTGGCTGACCCACCACCTCTATGTTGTGCTTTATGCCCTGGTGAGTGCCTTCCCTGGGCAGGATGAACCTTGGAGGGAGACACTTGGGATGGAAAGGGAGGGCAAAGTAGGAAAAATGGAGAATTAGACCCAAGGGCTGTGATCCTGAGCTCTGAGACCCCCACCCTGGGATCTATGCCAGCCCATGCCTGGGTGGGCCGTACCTGACAAGGAGGAGCCACTGGGACCTGATGGGTGGAGGTATATTAACTGACCATGTTTCCAGCTCATCATCCACGGCAGCTATGCCCTCATCCAATTACCCAGCTTCCACATCTACTTCCTGGTCCCTGCAATTATTTATCTGGGGGACAAGCTGGTAAGCCTGAGCCGGAAGAAGGTGGAGATCAGCGTGGTGAAGGCTGAGCTGCTGCCTTCAGGTAAGACCTGGTCTGACCCAGGCATGGAGAACCACTCTGCTCCTCAGACATGGGAGGGACTTGCCAGGTTTCCTGATCCCTACCTCTGACATCCTCTTGAGGAACTCTGAACCCTAAAGATTTTCTGATAGAAATGACACCCCAAGAAGGGCTATGCTTAGTTCCTTGTGAGACTTGCAGACAAGGGGCTAGGGAGATAACTCAGCAGTTAAGAACACTTTCTGCTCTTTCAAAGGACCTGAGGTCAGTTCCCAGCACTCATTTCAGGCAGCTCCTAACCAGTTCCAGGGAATACAGTGCCCTCTTCTGTCCTCCATGGGCACCTGCACTCATGTGTGCATATACCTACACATAGACAAACATATATACACATAATTAAAAATAAAGACAGAGACTCGAAGACAGTGAGAAACAATGCTGGGAAGAAGCAGGTGAAAACGATGTTCCAGGAGGAGGAAGGCTTCAGTATGCAGCCTGGTTCACATCGGAGAGAGGCAAACAGCCCTGACAGCCAGATTGCTGTTGTGTCTGTTTGGAGGTTTATATCACTATAGAGGGAGGCGGGAGTCATAATGTCAAATAGGTGTCATAATGTCATCTAACCTCTAAGATTAGCATTGCAAAGGATTCAATTTCATTTCAGTTTTATTTCAGTTAAGATTACGTGAGGATAAAGTTAAAGTAGCCTTCCATACTCTCCAAAACTTGTTGACCTCATTTTTCAACAAATGTAAGTAAACCCGAGGCTCAACTGTAGTCAGACAACAAGCACTGTCTAACTAAGATTTGGTAACAAAAGATGTTGCTTGTAAGGCATGCAAACATTTGTGAAAGTTACCTCCATGTCAGGGAGGTTTGATAAGCTTCTGAAGCTCTGAAGAGCCCTTTACCGTGGAGGCTGTTAATCTGGCAGTGCTATGAGCCTGCACCCTCTTTGGAATGAGGCAGGAGAGAAGAGAGACATTGGATTGGGGCAGAGGTGCCCAACTCTTACGTTGCCCAGGAAACAGAGGAGACTCAACTACTCTCAGCCCCACCTGCCTAGACCATGTGCATGTGTGAGACCCTCTGGGCCTCAGCAGTGTAGAAAGAACAAACACCTGTCAATCTTCGGGTACAGTTTCTGATCTAGGCTCTTCTTCCACTCTGACCCCTAGGGGTGACCCACCTGCAGTTCCAGAGGCCCAAGACTTTTGAGTACAAATCAGGACAGTGGGTGCGAATCGCCTGCCTGAGTCTGGGTACCAATGAGTACCACCCATTCACGCTGACCTCTGCACCCCATGAGGACACACTCAGCCTGCACATCCGGGCTGTGGGACCTTGGACCACCCGCCTCAGGGAGATCTACTCACCCCCAGTGGGTGGCAGCTGTGCCAGATACCCAAAGGTGCTCATCCCTGGAAATGTCCCTTCTCCCTATACCTTGACACTAGATGCCCCAGTACCTTTTGTGACAAAGCTGGTCTGAAAGTACTGAGGTGCGCTGTCCCCTACCTCTGTTAGTCTTCCCCATTTCTGGCCTCAGAGTTGGGGCAGGGCCTGGCTCATCTCACTTCTCCTTCTCTTGGCAGCTGTACCTCGATGGACCTTTTGGAGAGGGCCACCAGGAATGGCATAAGTTTGAGGTGTCAGTGCTGGTAGGAGGGGGCATTGGAGTCACTCCCTTTGCTTCCATCCTCAAAGACCTGGTCTTCAAATCGTCCATGGGCAGCCAGATGCTCTGTAAGAAGGTGAGCACCCTTTCTCCACTCTGCCTGGGAAATGTGTGGCCCAATGAGCCCTCCCATCACAGAAGCGCACTCCTGGTTTCCAACTGCAAGGTCTGTGGGGACCATTACACACAGCCGTTCAGATGTCAAATCCTGAGTGTGGATGGGAGAGTGGCTAGAGGATCTCTGCTGGCCTTTGTCCATTGGAGGCTAAGACCAGAGCATTGCTCTACACAGGATATCTGGGACTGCCTAGCATCTCAGATTGTAGGGAGGGGAGCCAGACCTGAGCTGGCCCTGAGCCCCAGTGTGTGTCCTCAGATCTACTTCATCTGGGTGACAAGGACTCAGCGGCAGTTTGAGTGGCTGGCTGACATCATCCGCGAGGTGGAGGAGAATGACCGCCAGGACCTGGTGTCTGTGCATATCTATATTACTCAGCTGGCTGAGAAGTTTGACCTCAGGACCACCATGCTGGTAGGTCAGGGCCAGCCAGGCACGGCAGGTGGGCCACTCTCAGGGCCAAGGGTTGGTCCTAGCAATGACCTCCCTCCCCCATTTTGTTTACCAGTACATCTGTGAGCGGCACTTCCAGAAAGTGCTGAACAGGAGTTTGTTCACGGGTCTGCGCTCTGTTACCCACTTCGGCCGGCCTCCCTTTGAGCTCTTCTTCAACTCTCTGCAGGAAGTCCATCCACAGGTGGGTCCATCTCCTCCACCCTAGGACCCTATTTCACTTTCTCATCTTGGTCTGATTAATGTGGTCAGGCTGGAGAAGCTGATCTCCCTGGGCAGTGGGCATTTCAAGGCTCCAAGGCACACGTCTCTCCATGGACAGGTTCGTAAGATTGGAGTCTTCAGCTGTGGTCCTCCAGGGATGACCAAGAATGTGGAGAAGTCCTGCCAGCTCATCAACAGGCAGGACCGGGCCCACTTTGTGCATCATTATGAGAACTTCTGAGCCTGCTCTCCTTGGTTTCTGTCCAGTCTGCTGCTGTCCTCCTTCATTGTTACTGTCACTTGAGACCACAGCCAGGGAACTGGAGCCCTGCCCCTCACAGCACCTATGTTCTGGGCAGGTCGACAAAGCCACTCCAATACCTAGCTCATGTCATAGCAAGTTATGGGATGTACAGCGAGGAGAGGGAAGCCTCTATTTCTGACAACTGTGGATGGGAACAGAACACTGGAGATCACCTCTGATAGGTCTCTGTTTCTGTTTTATCTTCACAAAATTGCTGTATTGCTGTGGCCTTTTCGTGGGGGAATCATTTAAGGAAAGCATGACAATTTTCTCTGAGTTTGTCTCAGAAACCACATACTGCACAGCCCACCTGCCTCAACTCAGGCTCTTTCCCCTCAGCTTCTGCCCGCACCTTCCTGCTCGGAGAGGCCACAAAGCCTTAAGGCTGCCAGAGAACAGATGCTCTGAGCTCCCAATGTCATCCCGTAGTGTCTGCTGTCTTGACTCTTCAGTGAATCCTCCTGTGAGCATAAAGGTGTTCCCTGGGCTCCAAGGGTCAAGACAGCAATGGTCTCTCTACCACACACCCCAACCCCTTCAGCTCCCCATCCCCAGAGGAATCAGAGCAGCTTTCCTGGTTTGTGCTGTCCAGGCACTAGAAGCCTCTTACCCTAGGGGGATTGGCCACCCAATCGCAGTACACAGATGTCACCTCTACCTGTGTAGACCTTTCTCCTTCTTTCTGTGGAATTTTACTAAAAAGCTGAGCTGTAACATATTTACAGTTGAGGTATATTTGCACAAAGTGTATAAATCTTATAGTAGCTACCATCCTGGTCAAGATAGAAAACATTTCAACATTCCAGCCACCCCAGAAGCTTCGCCAGTGAAGCTCCCTCAAATAAAAGCAACCACGAACGTGACTTCTGTCGCTGCACTTTGGGTCATATGAGAATGCACTTTTGATCTTGTCCTCTTTCTCATCCCTCGATGCTTTTGTGATTCATCCGTGCCATTGTGTTTGTTGGACGTTTGTCCCTTTTTTATTGCTGAGTGGCATTCCACTATAGAGATGTATCGGTTTGTTTAGTCATTCTGCTGGAAGATGGTTGGCTTGTTTCTGGGTTTGGCTGATTGTAAATAAAGTTGCTATAAACATTTGTATGTCTATCTTTTAGTGAATATGATGCACTCATTTCTCTGGGTATGGCATTTATCTAGGAGCAGAATTGCAGAGCCATAATACTGTATAGCTGGTAGAATTTGTAGCAAGGAGAGTTTCAGGCAAACTCAACATCCCTGAGTCTGGATCTTTTCCTTGGTGAGTTTATTCAGAAGCTAAATATCTCTTTAGTGAAACCATCTCTGATGAAGCTGGACAAACAGGCCAGAGCCCAAGAGACCTGGGAGTCTGGCACCAATTTTATCTGTAAAGACTACAAAGGAGTGTTCTCAAGGTCTTTGAACCTATTTCTATATTTATTCAGCTGTTTGTGAAGAAATTGGGAGGCGAGATAGCAGTGTGTCTCAAATTATATAGATGGGAAGAAAACACACACACACACACAAACACAATATGTTTTACAATTTTAATGTGTTATATTTTAGTCTGTTTAAATTTTAAGTATTATTAAATGTGACTTTAAAAAAAATAAATAACAATGAACATATTTATGAACAGCATTATGTGTGCCCTGGCCTCTAGCCCTCCTGGTATTCACCAAGTCATCCAGCCCCTGGCCCTGAACTCCAGCCTCTTGGATGTCACCTTAGCTTTATTCTCAGATCTGATACATCAGCATTTTCCTGCTCGTTCTTTCAAAAATATTTGTCTAGTCCTAAACCACTCATCCTCTATGGACTGCCAAATGCCATTAACATGCCATCAGAGCTGACTCTAACCTTCTGTCCCTTCCTTCTCTTCCCTTCCTCCTCTCCATGCTGGAGAAGTGACAGTCTCACGAAGAGTCTGTGATTTTTTTAACTTTTTTATTGGATATTTTATTTACATTTCAGATGCTATCCCCTTTCCCCATTTCCTCCCTCACCCAGGAACCCCTTATCCCATCCCCCTCCTCCTGCTTCTATGAGAATGTGCCCCACCCACCCCCACTCCCACCTCCCTATCCTTGAATTCCCCCACACTGGGGCATCCAGCCTTCACTGGACCAAGGACCTCCACTCCCACCTATGCCCTACAAGGCCATCCTCCCCTACACATACAGCTGTGGCCAAGGGTCCCTCCCTATGTGCTCTCAGCCTTGTGGTTTAGACCCTGGGAGCTCTGGTTGGTTGGCATTGTTGCTCTTCCCATGGGACCGTAAACCCTTTCAGGTCCTTCAGTCTTCTCTCTCACTCCTCCATTGGGAACCCCTTGATCAGTTCAATGGTTAGCTGTGAGCATCTGCCTCTGAATATGTCAGACTCTGGCAGACCTCTAAGGAGACAGCTATATTAGGCTCCTGTCAGCATGCACTTCCTGACATCCACATCAGCATCTACCTTTGGTGACTGCACATGGGATGGATACCCAGGTGGAATGGTCTCCAGACAACCCCTCCATCAGTTTCTGTCCCACATTTTGTGTCCATATTTGCTCCCTTGAGTATTTTGTTACTCCTTCTAAGAAGGACCGAAGCACCCACACTTGGTCTTCCTTCTTCATGAGCTTCATGTGGTCTGTGAGTTGAATCTTGGGTATTGCGAGCTTCTGGGCTAATATCCAATTATCAGTGAGTGAATACCATGTGTGCTTTTTTATGATTGGGTTTCCTCACTCAGGATGATATTTTCTAGTTCTATCCATTTACCTAAGAATTTCTCAAATTCATTGCTTTTAATAGCTGAGTAATACTCCATTGTGTAAATGTACCACATTTTTTTGTATCCATTCCTCTGTTGAAGGACATCTGGGTTCTTTCCAGTTTCTGGCTATTATAAATAAGACTGCTATGAACATTGTAGAGCATATGTCCTTGTTATATATTGGAGCATCTTCTGGATATATGCCCAGGAGTGGTATAGCTGGGTCCTCAGGTAATGCTATGTCCAATTTTCTGAGGAACTGCCAGACTGATTTCCAGAGTGGTTGCACCATCTTGCAATTCCACCAACAATGGACGAGTGTTCCTCTTTCTCCATACCCTCGCCAGCATCTACTATCACCTGAGTTTTTGATCTTAGCCATTCTGACTGGTGTGAGGTGGAATCTCAGGGTTGTTTTGATTTGCATTTCCCTGATGACTAAGGATACTGAACATTTCTTTAGGTGCTTCTCAGCCATACCAGTTTCCTCAGTTGAGAATTCTTTGTTTAGTTCTATACCCCATTTTTAAAATAGGGTTATTGGTTGTCTAGAGTCTAATTTCTTGAGTTCTTTGTATATATTGGATATTAGCCCTCTATCGGATGTAGGATTGGTAAAGATCTTTTCCCAATCTGTTAGTTGCTGTTTTGTCCTACTGACAGTATCCTTTGCCTTACAGAAACTTTGCAGTTTTATGAGGTCCCATTTGTCAATTCTTGATCTTAGAGCATAAGCCATTGGCATTATGTTCAGGAACTTTCCCCATGTGCCCAAGTATTCAAAGTTCTTCCCCACCTTCTCTTCTTTTAGTTTCAGTGTATCTGGTTTTATATGGAGGTCCTTTATCCACTTGGACTTGAGCTTTGTACAAGGAGATAAGAATGGATCTATTTGCATTCTTCTACATGTTGTCCTCCAGTTGAACCAGCACCATTTGTTGAAAATGCTGTCAGCTACTTGTTGCTCTGGCTCCAAGGCAGTGCTAAGTACATGTCCAGCTGGACAGAGAGACATTCTGTCATGATTGTGAGCATCCTGAGTAGCACCCAGCCTGCCTAGCCTAATCCTGATGCCACAGCCAGGCTCTAGACGTTGGCCATAGACAGACATTTATGTAACTTGACTGTTCTGTCTAATCTTGGACAGATTTCAAGAAACCCAGAATGGGTGAGTTAAAAGTCAAGGACTTAATGAGATGGGTACAATGTCTTTAGCCAGACCCTAAATGACTTCATCCTGTCTGGGGCCTTTTGATAGACTCCTCTTGGGCAGTGGCTAGAAGATGGCATCAGGCAGCTCTTACTTGGGTAGAGAAAATGATGTTGCTAGTACCATAAGTGTGTGTGCCAAAGTTATACTTCTTAAACAAGGAACACTGCAAAAATGTCCCAGAGAAAGAAGACTGGAAGAAGATGAGACAGAGGAAATTCTTATATTAACAGCATAAAATAAAGCAATCTATTTCTGCTCTGAATTTTCAATGTTGATCTCCATCCCTGGAACCAATCCCATCCCAAACCTCTGCCACTCCCCTCCACAATACTCACAAATAGTAAGGAGAATGAGCCTGAAAGAGAGATAAAGAAGAAATATCAGCTAGGATGGAGGGTTAAGGTACCAAGGACAGAGAAGATGAGGATTAGGGTGAGTTGAGAGGGAAACGCTTTGGGCCCTGGTGGGAAGGCAGCTGATCAGGACAGGAGGTTCTGGGAGGTTCTGGGAGGCTCTGGAACTGAGCTTTCTACTTAAGGAAGAAAGCCTGAACTACTGTCTGTTTTCTCAACCTTTAAGTCCAACTGAAAGAAGAGAGTTGACAAGATGTACCATCCTTCCCAGCTCTTGGTACCAGCTTTTGAGAGCAAGGATCCAGCCAGCTGACTCTTATAATGAACAGCTCTTGAGACAAACTGGGTTTAAGTTCTAGCTGGGTAATTTTGAGTAAATAAAGAGAACATTTGGTATCTCAGTTTGCTCCTCCATAGAATGGTAGTGTCTTGAGTATTTTCTCCAGAATTTTTAGCAAGGTCCAATGAAACAATCAACTTATTCCGAAGGTGCTGGCCCTGTTATATGTCTCAGACACAGGCCCAGCTCCAAGGGCATTTACATGGAAGTGGATACAAACAGCAAGCAATTTAGAGGGAGGAGAAGATTTCAGCTTATAAAGTCTTTAAAGACTATAAAATAACAG